GACAGTTGTTTACATCAGGGCAAAGTCCCTAAGAGCTGGAATAACTCTAAAGTAATCTTATTACACAAGAAAGGTGATAGTCGAAAATTGGAAAACTACAGACTTATCAGCCTACTGTCACACCTGTTTAAAATTCTCACCAAAGTCATAACTACTCGACTAACAAGGAAATTAGACGAATACCAACCATATGAACAGGCAGGTTTTAGAAAAGGCTACTCAACTTCCGATCACCTGTTAACCACAAAAATATTAATAGAAAAATGTAACGAATACAAGTTTCCAGTTTTCCTAGCATTTGTAGACTACGAAAAAGCTTTCGATACCATAGAACACACGGCCGTAATAAACGCAATGCAAAATTGTAGAATAGACAGCAGATATATTAACTTAATAAAAGAAACTATGAACCAAGCTACAGCTACATACTACCTAAATGAAAATGAACACACGAACCCTGTACCATTAAACAGGGGAGTCAAACAGGGAGATACTTTATCACCCAAACTGTTCACCTTAGTTTTGGAGGACGTTTTTAAAAACCTAAATTGGAAATATAAGGGAATAAACATCAATGGCCGCTACCTCAGTAATCTACGATTTGCAGATGACATAATCCTGATAGCTACTGACCCACAAGAAATGCAAACCATGCTTTTAGAACTACATACCGAATCTTCTAAAATAGGACTGAAAATGAATTTAAACAAAACAAAAGTCATGCACTCCGAAGACACCGTGACAATAATAAACGATAAAGTTATAGAAAAAGTTGAAGAATATATATACTTAGGACAAAAAATAATCCTAAATAGGGAAATTCAAACTGAAGAAATAAAAAGAAGAAGAAAGTTAGCTTGGGCAGCATTCGGTAACCGAACTATATACTCAGAAATCAACAAATTCAATTACATCTTAGATCTAAAGTTTTTGATGCATGCATTATTCCGATATTAACTTATGCGGCACAAACGTGGACAATCACAAAAAAGAATATAAATATACTTAGAGTCACTCAACACGCGATGGAAAGAGCAATGTTAGGTATATCACTTAAGGACAAGAAAACAAACACATGGATAAGACAGAAAACCAAAGTCACCGATGTGGTGCAAAAATCATTAAAGTTGAAATGGGAATACGCTGGACATGTAGCTAGGAGCGATCTAAACAAGTGGCACAGATCAATTTTAACCTGGAGACCATACCAACACAAAAGACCCAGAGGCAGACCTCCTATGAGATGGACAGATGATCTGAAAAGGACTGCCGGGAAAAATTGGCTACAAGTAGCATACAATAAAAAACAATGGAAAGGAAGATTTGAAGAGGCTTATGTTCAGATGTGGACGTAAATGGCAAGACGAAGAAGAAGAAGAAGTTCCAGGGCATAGCTACCTTCCAGCAAACCGCGCATTTGGAAGTGTTGAGAAATTATTGAAACGCAAAGACTTGATCACAAGTGTAAAAGAATACAATGAGGTTTACTCTAATATCGAAAATGTTATGATATTAGGAAAGGATTAGGTTTTATACGATATAAAAAACATAACGGATGATCTGTATAAAAAAATTCCAGGAATAAAAAATTTTAAACGCATTGAACTCAAAAAGTTTACTACAAAAAACAATAGTACAACCGTTAAGTACAGGGGTTCCGAATTTTATAGATTTCAAATCCAACTAGATTTATATCAATGCTTAGTAAAAAGAGGCAAAATTGAAAGTACATTAAAGTTAACACAGCTGTTAATTGGAAACGAAATTGCCAAAGAAAAGACAAAAGACGTACATAAATTGTTGGAAAAACAATATAATAACGATGAAAAAAAAAATTAAATGGGAAGATCTACCAGAGTTGACATTTTGTAAAAACATTGTTTATGGAAATTAAATACAGAATTTTAAAGAATCGTCTAAAATAGAGGTCGATAAAGAACACACATGCGATTGCTTGGACGTAGACTGCGGAAAGTTTCACATATAAATATTGAAGTTTATTGTTTATTTTTATATTCAAAAATGATTTATTTTTCTTTGATTTTCTGCATACTAATAACAATTTCGTGGATTTTACCAATAAACTGTTCAAAATAACACATGTCCGTCACTCATTCCAGTCAAAACTGCACATGTCCATACTGTCTGAGCAAAACCACTCATGTCCAAATTAAAAATAACTATTTTTCATTTCTTATCAACCAAAAAAAAGTAATTACAACTGTATTCAAATCAGTGTGCACGTACGTATACTTACTGACATTTTCGTCAAATAAAAATGATTTTCCATTGTGCAAACAGTTTTTGTAACATATTTCAAAACTACTTTAAGTGGACTTGTGTAGTTGCGTGGACGCTCCTCATTTCAACGGTTTATAACTTTAGGTTTACAAAAGCTTAAACGTGCGCTAGCTAGTACAAATATGGCCTTTTTCTATGATATTAATAATGATCTTGATTTTTTTGACAGTCTTTCTTACCGAAACTTATAACAATTTAATATTAAAGCATTCTCCACTAAAAACACGACAAACTGCTGAAAAACACCCGTGCAATGGCTTAATAATGAATTAAGGTCTTATAGATCTAATCTTTCTCTTATTAAACACATTGCAGATGCCACTATAGATCCCGATTTGGTTAAAGTATATAAACAACAAAAATGTAAATGTAATCAGCAATTACAAAAAATACAAGTTAACTTACTGTAATTTTATTACTAATTTCAATAATAAACCTAGAGACTGCTGGAAAATAGTAAATTTCGGAACACCAAAAGATCCAGTTCGGTGCAACTTGATCTACTTCCAGGCGAAATAAATCAATATTTCATTCTAATTGGAGAGAATATAATTAAATCTCTTTTCACTATCAATGTCGATATCCTCTTCAATTATAGAAATTATCCTTCTCCGAGCAAGTCCTTTTTTTTCGTCCCGTTGTGGAGAATTATAGTCTCTTAGTAATTCTAATTGTAGGGACGTTCACGAAATTAATGGCAAAATTTCAAAACTTACCAATAGTTTTAAAACCTTTCATTCATCTTATTAACTTAATTGTATCAACTGAAGTATTTTCATAAGTACTAAAATACTCAAATTGTATGTTCGGGTGCACATATAATGAGGCTGCTATTAAGTATCTATTGGAAAATCTAATAAAAGAACAAATACCTCTTCCTCAGTGTCAATCTTCCATTGTATATATCTCTCGTCATAATATTAGGTTTAACCAATTTTTTTGGGGATATTTAAAAAGGGCTAAAAGAAAAATTTAGGATGGAATGTGTAATGTAAAGGTATAAATCTAACTTTGTTCCCTCTGTCTATCCTTATGTTATTTAGTTACCTTCTAACCGTTGCCTGTCTTGTGTTGTAATAAAATATTCACTTTAAGATGGTTAGGACATTGAATGGAACGAATTAATGTATGGTTTTTTATCAAGCTACTGATTCTTGTGATACTAATGTTTACATTATATTTTTAATTTACCTCTATGCGATGTACTATTTTGTTAACAAATGCAATAGGTCAATACATCATTAACAAATTCAAGTAATCAAATACATTATCGTGGCTAAATGGATCCTTGATGGTGAAGTTATCCAAAGCCATTAATTAAATAATAAAAAAAATCAAATACTCAAAGTACTACCTATCTACAAAAAGGTGATTCCTCAAAAACTGATGACAATTACAGACCCATAAGCATTGTTTCTACTTTGGAAAAAGGGATTGAAAAAGTTATTAAATAACAATTTTATTCCTATTTTGAGTCAAATAATTACTTTAGCAACTCACAATATGGATTCAGAAGTACTCGTCCTACTACGAACGCGGTATTTAATTTAATTACTATTTAAATGGGAATAAGCCACAACTTTACAGGTTAAAGTACGATTATTGATGTTTCAATTTCCACTTCGGAAATCGTTTTCAAAATACAAACAGTAAATTTACTGGCAAGTGTCAAGATAAACAAGCGTGACACATATTTTAAAAATAGAGACTTAGGCAAATTACAAATTTGGAAACATGCCTGGGACAACAAGTACAGAATACAATGGACTGATGCATCAATAGTGATGAAAGAAACATATTTTTTTTGCACTTGCCTCATTATAAATATAGCATCGGTGTATGACTGTCCGACCTAAAACCTTGTTTTTTTCTTCTGCTAGTATTATAATTTTATTTAGTTTCTTTGTTACCACTTTGATTGTTATTTTTGCTGTTGTCTTTAATAAAAATTAATTACTAATCATTTGTCCTTGTAAGTAATTCTCCTGTCTTGGATCTTACAATGTTAGAACTAATGGGCCCATTTTTTGTTAGGCCTCTAGTAATTTTGCTGTTTCTGCTCGTTTTGGCAGTTCTTCAGCCCATCCCTTTTGTTTCTTCTTGAACTCCTTTTAATTCTTATTTTTATTGCTTTTTTAATAAAATTTTCCTTACCTATCTCTGTCAAAATTTCTGCCAAAACTTTTCAGCTATTCATCTCGCGTTCTTTTGTTTTAACTTGAAGTTCGTCTCTAAATATGTATCTTCCTCAGGGCCTTTTTAGTTTGTCTAAATTCTATCTTGGCCTGTTGGTGTTTCGCGACATTTTGTTCGTGCTATCTTAATTTTAATAGTTCCGATTAGGAGACAATGGTCACTTGCGATATCTGCTTTTCTTTTTGATATGGTGATGTGATCGATTTGTTTTTTACTGGTATGCCCAGGTGCAGTTCATGTAATCTTGTGGATATTTTTATGTGGAAAAATGGTTCCACCAATATCAAAGCTGTGGTTGCAACAAAAGTATTTTAAGCGTTCTCCGTTTTCATTCATCACTCCTATGCCATGTTTGCCCATTACCTATTGCCAATGTAAAGCTATTAATGACTAATCGAAGAATATGTGTAAATTATGTAGTTGTTTTATTTATTTATTTATCTAACAGCGAATTAACTTATAATTAAATATAGCTTGTCTTGTAAAATATTTCATCTTCTTACCTTGGCGATGATATGGAATGATATGGTACTTCTGTATGCTGTCCAATGAGGTCTTGGTTATTTTCGACTATACCCCACGGAGCTATCCCTAAAGTATTAACTCTACCCGTTCTTTGAGATCGTTCTAGCAACAATGCATCTCCCACGTGTTTGGTTACACCTGAAAAAAGATAAATTGAGTACCTAATCGAATAATATCTATTGATATGTTAATACTTTCACAAAAAAACACTGTGAGTCGTATTGACACACCATTATCGGCCAGTTTCTAGTTAATACAACCGACAAATAAGAAATTTTGCAATGTGTTTATTTGATTTACAGGAATTTAAAAAAATTATGAAAAAATTATCAATTTGTGTCAATAGTTATGAAAAGATTACTAGCCAAGGGACTAATAAAAATTATTGAAGAAAAATAACATTATAATTAATCAATTGTGGTTTAGAGTCAAAGATTCAACAATTAAACAAAAAAATTATTTTGAAAACAAGCAATATTTCACAAGAGCATTCATAAATATGAGTGAAACCTTCTACAAGTGACATTAGGGACTATTATAAAAATTTAAAATGCATTTTCGTCAGAATATATATGATATACTACAATAGTCCCTTAATGAAAGGCACTTATAGGTAAAACAGGAAGATTAACATCTTTTTACATCCCGTAAAATCGGGCGCCCCTCAGGGCAGCGTTATTGGGCCGCTCCTTTAAGAACTATATACTTTCGATTCCGATTTATATAACGGCAATAAAGTGCATACAGCCACTTTTTCTGACGATATCACAATAATGACGGTAATTTCAGACTTCGTTGTTACAGCACACTACCTCCAACAAAACCTAAAAAAGTTTAGGAATTTACCAAAAAATGTAAAATGAAACTGAATGACTTTAAATCAAGCCACATTTCAACTTCAACTGCCATAATGATTCACCTACCCGTTTTGATTCACCTACCAAGTTGAGCAATAAAATTTATGCGTCATGTTCGTAAGCAACCAAAAACATAATATGAGACCTACAAATGTCATCTGTGAGTGAAGTGATAGTTTCATACTATCAAACATATTTAACATGACTGCTTTTTATAAAACTTATTGGGCAACAGTTGACAGACAGCATTTTTGTAGGTAATTATCATTAAGCATGGAACAACACGGAGGATGTGGCACAGTGGACGAAAATGCTGATCCCGAACATAAGAGATTGGGTGAACTGTGGCCACAAGCGACTGGATTATTTCCTGACGCAGGCGCTCACATGACACGGGTGTTTTAGGGCCTACCTCTCTAGAGTCCGTTTTACAGCTTGCAATTTTACCTGCAAGACGCAAGAAAGTTGCCCAAAGGCATGCGCAGTATGTCGTCAGCTGATTATTGCCTGCAACTTATTGCAGTTGCGCGATAATCGGTTTGGTGCCATTTTCTGTGCAAGTTTTCATGCAAGTCTAGGGGAATTTGTAGGAAGTTTGATTTTTTCACAATGTCAAATGTCATAATCACTGATTGACATGGAGACATGCCGATCAGCTGTTTTCTGTTTTGTTTATTATTTCCTTTCCCACCCATTTGTATTTAGCTTGGCTTGATTTGTGGATTATCGGCTTTTTCTAGTTTTAATATTTTTAATTAATACTTTAGAGTATCATCAAAAATTGAACTATCTTCTGCCCGAAGTACCAACAATGTCTTGCATAGTCTTGGCATTACGAAATTTACTATCTATCTATCTAAATCAATCTATCTATTGAAATTAATTCTATCATTCTAAATTCTAATCTAAATCTATCCAAATTAATTCTAAATCTATCGAAATTAATTCAATCTATCTATCAAACTAAATCGACTAAAGTGTTTTAAATAAACTAGTAATTAAAAAAAATCATAAATAAGTTAGGTTAAGAGTAAAAATTTCAACATTAATTGCAAGCTGTAAAGTCGCACATAAAGACCCTGCAATAAATTGCATGAAAGTTAGTCATGCAAGAAGTTGCAGCAAGTTTTCTTGCAAGCTGTAAAGCGGTCTTAGGTTCGGAAAGGCTGACACATAGATGAATGCCTATACTGTGGAGACTCGGATTCTGTGACACATACGATGTTAGATTGCAACAGATGGATAGTAGAAAGGAACAGAATGGAAAGCGAAACAGGTGTAATTTTTGTTACAGTGAGAGAAATGATTGAGAGAATGATTGAAAATAAACTATATCCGTAAAGTGATCTAGAAAAAAGAAGAGGAAGAAAGACAGCTGAATCAACGGCAAAGGTAAGAGGGAAAGATGCTGGAAGTTGAAGTTAGAAAAGTGGTCAGACTGTATAAGTTAGAATTCGTGAGTCAGACTATGGGGAAGAAAGAAAAGAAATATGGGAGTGATGCCGTACTAGGAGCGATGAGGGTCTTCTACGCGCTACCTGAAACGAGACAGGAAGCCTCCTTGCTGATGAATAGAGTGGGGATGTGGATGAATGGAGAATGAATGAAGGAAGATAGTGCTTCGGAAGTGATGACGGCCATTCCGCTTCGGGCCCGCTGGATGACAGAGGAGGCTCTGGTTTAGCAGGTAGGCATTCGGCGTAGACTCGGCGACGAGAGGGTATTTTAAAGTACCTCAGGAACTATGACCGGGCGTACGAAGAACGAATCATGGACTAAGGTCAGTCAGGCGGCGTCCTGGACTGAAATGTCTTTTGAAGATTCCAGACCCCCCCTCTATAAAGACGAAAAAAGGGTAACTATCATTAAAGTATAACACTTATAAAAAGTAAATATTTCTAGAAATATTTTTTTTGTAAATACTAATTGCATAATAAATAAAAAATACTGATAATCACTATTTATGTATGATAAAAGAAATGTAATCAAAACAAGAGAGAGCTGAGAGTCATTAGATCATGGTCTATTGTCTTGGTTAAAAAGTTATTGGAAACACCTAAATTTGAAGAATCTGTATTGGACAATATGTCTGTATGTTTCTTAAAAATAATATCTTCGTATCAGCATTACCTGTATTTGTTCCTCCGGTGAAGATCCACGCCCCTGTTGACCTAGCAGCTTTGAGAAGACCCTTTCTAAGTACTTTCTTAAGTTTAGGTTGGAGCTCAAAATTTGCTTTACCTCCTTGAATTGATATTAAAAGTTTAGGCAATTCTAGGTTCCATTCTCTGGTGATTAACTGCATTAGATGTTCAGGCTTTGTGTCATGAGCAACTCGGATGTACTGAAAAAGAAAAATGAAAATTATTTTTAAAATTCAAGAAAGTTTCAAGAAGGTAACCTTTACTAAATGAATAATTATTTAACATGCTTATTTACACATTAGATCTAAAGAAACTCTTCTTCTTAGAGTGCCATATCCCTTCGGAACGTCGGCGACTACCATGCTTATAATATTATTATACTGATCTCTGTTTTGCGCTACGTGTAGCAATTGGTCCGCTGTCAAACCTGTCCACTGCCGCAAATTTCTCAACCAAGAGAGTTTCTTCCGTCCTATCCATTTCTTTCCTTCGATTTTACCGTTGAGAATTAGCCGAAGGAACTCATATCTTGGTCCTCTGATTATATTTCCAAGATATTCTAGTTTACGCCTCTTAATAATATTTAATAGAGTTCGTTGATGTCCCATTCTTCGAAGAACTTCTTCGTTTCTGGTTCTGCTAGACCATGGAATTTTTAGTATCCTTCGATACAACCACATCTCAAACGCCTCGATTTTATTCATGATATCGGCGTTTAAAGTCCAAGTTTCACATCCATACAAAAGTACAGACCACACGTAACATCTTGTAAACTTTTCACGGATTTCCAAATTTAATGAGTTATTGGATAATAGAGGCTTGAATTTTTGAAATGAGTTTCTTGCCTGTTCAATTCTACATCGAATTTCGAAGGATGGATCTAGATTTTGGGTAATCCAACATCCAAGGTATTTGAATCCCTGAACTCTCTGCAGCGGTTGTTAGTTTAATATCAGTTGGGTTGCGCCGATATCCACTTTACTGGTCACCATGTATTTAGTTTTATCGATATTTATCGAAAGTCCTTAATTTGTGCATTCCATGTCAACTCTTTTGATTAGCTCCTGCAGATCGTCGATGTTTTCAGCTAGAATCACAGTATCGTCGGCGTACCATATATTGTTAATTATTTCTCCTTCTATGATAATTCCTTTTTGATCTTTTAAAGCTTCCCTAAATAGATTCTCAGAATACACGTTAAAGAGGGTGGGAGATAGCATACAGCCTTGTCTTACGCCTCGTTCAATACTGATTGGCTTTGATTCTCTGTTGTTGGTATTAATATTGGCTGTTTGGTTCCAGTAAAGTTTGGCAATAAGTTTGTTGTCTTTCTCATCTAGTTGGATGCTCTTCAAGGCGGTAATTAGTCTGGTATGCTGAACGCAATCAAATGCCTTTTCAAAATCAATGAAGCACATATATACGGGTTTTCTTACCTCTCAACATCGTTGAAGGAGTGTTTGCATAGAAAATAGTGCTTCTCTTGTTCCAAGGCATCTCCGGAACCAACTGCTCTTGACTAATTATTTCTTCGCACTTGTTGTTAATTCGGTTTAGAAGAATATGCAACAGTATTTTAACGGCATGGCTCATTAAACTAATGAGTCTACAATCGCTACATTTCTTAACGTTTGGTTTCTTAGGTAGAGGAATAAAGATCGATTTTAACCAGTCCGATGGAATTTCACTGGTATCATATATTTGATTGAAAACTACAGTGAGTTCTTTTATATTGTCATTGTCAATAAAGAAACTTAATCAACTACAAATATAGTACCATTGAAAAAATTAAGGCCTTAGAATCTAATAAAATATACTGCTCGGTAGTAGCCTAGATACCATGGTGAATCGCAATTATGGTTTGACATTGTCAATATAAAGTTTGATTAGGCCTATAGTTTTACGGTTACGGAATTAGTAGCATTTTTTTGTATTTGTGAATATAGGATGTCAACATGGGGCATAACACGATAAAACCCTTTCAACTAAAATACAAATTTAACATAATTCAATATCCTCAAAAGTGCACTTGATTTTGTTATGGTACCAGATTACCTGGATGTGGATTGCATTCTTTCCTTACACTCTATTAGGGATTATCTATTTTTATACACCATGTTTACCGTTCTAATTTTACAATTCCATCTTGTAGCAAATGCCGAAGGAAATCTATTTCCCACATCTTCATCTAATATCGCAAATCTCTAAAGTGAATTTGATTTGGTTTGATGAATTGGTAAAGTCAGTAAAGCCAGCAAAATGTATGCGTACGTTAGTATTTATGCTTGTTGCCTGTGAATTAATAAATTTAACTGATGTGCTTATCAATGTATATAATTGTCATATTTAAATTTATCCTGAATGTTTCTGCATACCACCATGAACGCCACTTATAAAACCTGCTCCGTCATAGCTTTGAGAAATTAACTTATTGGAACTTCACAGCACGCAATTTAAAGATTCTTCTATGCAGCAAGCTAAGAAAACAACATCGTGGTTATTTGGTTTTAAAAAAGACCAAAATATTTCAACAGGGGTTCTGTTTTGTAAAAAAAATTATGAGACCTCTACATGTACCAGGGTTTAATGAATCCTTTCTTTCATCACGTCCGCAAAGAGCAAGTTCAAAAGCACCACAAAATTTGACACCGTTTATAATTTTTGATAAGACCAGTTTATAATATTATATATTCATTATATTTTTCAATATTTAATCGGTATGCACTACTTAGTGGTTGCCAAATATCTTATTTACCTAATAAATTGAAACCAAATTTAGCAGATATACGTCACTTTAAAAGTTTATGCTTCTTAATTTTTTCGGATAAATGAACCAATTCTTTAACGCCGTATTTTTTTTATTCTGATTCTTCACCTCCAAATAGTAAACATGGAAAACAGTGGAGAGTACCACAGCCACACAACCAGTCAGCGTTTTCATAAATCTCCATTTTGCATCTCCGTCATCATCCATAAATCTCCGACTTATGCATTTTGTTACATTCGTAATTAACAAATTTGGTTTAGGACGACCGTCACTTTGAATTTTTTTTGAAGAATAATTGAGTGTTTTACTTAACCTGTTTACGGTGATTTGGTCATCTAAAACAGTTCGTGTCTTGTAAATTAGCTGAAAGGAGAAAAAGGGCATGAAATACGGTGGTTCAGTGTCGGCCGAACAAAAAGCCATTCATGTCTATCAACTCCACTGTGAGAAGCTTTGTTAATCTGGTCAATTTTTGAAATTGTACATCCGAAAACTCCTCAAGAGGGTTAACAAAGGGACGGCAAATTCTGCCTCTCCGTTCCGTTAATATTTCCACCCCTGCAAGGACACTATACCATAATGAACGATGTTAGAAATAAAACTAACACAGCTGAAACATTTTCTCTTCCAAACACTAAAAATATAAATGAATACTTCGTTGATGTGAGTAAAAATACAGGGTGTCTAGAAACTCTCCTGACAAACGAAGACTAGAGATTCCTCAGATAATTTTAAGACAGTTTAACCCCTTTGACCTATTCCGAAAATGCTTGCTTAGGAAGCTAGTGGACTTTGAAGATGGCGCCTTGTAATTAGTTTTTTTTTTAAATACCTCCAGAACGCTTTTATTTAGAAAAACAAAAATGGGTACGATTAGTTTAGTTCCAGTGTTACGAGCCCTAACAACTATATGTTGGAACAAGCAGTTATTTTGCAAATAAAATACCAATTTATTGAAATTTTTTTGTTATTTTTTTTTAATTGTAAATATGAAATTAACAACATTTTTTATGATATATGGAATTCTTTTTATAATTTAATTATGTAACTTTTGTTGATTGCTATTTAATTAGCTGTTTTATAACCAAAACATGCTGACAACTAAATGTTGGAACACGAGGATTTTAACATATTAAAATAAATATTGATAATTTGAAACGTCGCCCTTAGATTAAAAACAGCCTGAACTGTATTAGGGATTGTACCAAGCAGGTCTTCACAGAATTCAGGGGTGGAACTATCTCATATTTCTTGTAATTTAGCACGTTGTTGTGGCAAAGTACGTTGAGGGTCATTTCTTAGGCATTGTTTCATTTTGTGTCAAAGTGCCTCTATTGGATTAAAATTCGGGCTGCTAGAATGATGTGACAAAAATTCAATGTCATGTTATCCAAACGATATTTGGTAGATTTACAGCCGGTTTCCGAAAGGCTGATCATTATCAAAATTAGGTAATCTACTGTTAACAGTCGATTAAATGCATTTTGAGTTGCAGAAACATCGATCAAACTTCAATCACATAACACACATTAACTAATCTAACAAAAAAATAATCGATGATTAACAGCCTGTCAGAAGTATTTTGGGTTTCCGAAACGCTAATTATCGTTTTATCTATGTCAAACAACTGTCATACTAGCTTGTCAGGTAATCTGAGATTTTTGGACGATTAATCTTATGATCTTTGGTTATGTATCAAGTAAATAAAATAAAATCTTTGGTTACGTTGTAAATACATAAACCTAAGGTGTTTTATAAAAAGCTGTTGTTTAGAAAGAACTCAAAAATATTGTTACAAAGGTAAACAATTTACTAATATTTAATATTAAATATGATGATGATTGATAAATGACAAATTGGCAAACATTAACAAACGACACAAAATTAATAGTTAGGTTATGTTTGTTTGTTGATTTTCAGAATGCAGATTACACATAAACAGAAATGACGGTAGAGTGAAACAGCAACATTACTTTCTTAATTTAGAGCAAGATAAAGAACAATTCGTACAGAAATAATAAATGATTATAATCGATTCTACAGTTTCCATGTAAAATGGTTTGTCAAATAATCTATAATCGGTGATCACCTAATTTTACCATAATTTTCGTTTCGGAAACCTGTCGCTTGTTAACAGTTGATCAAATTTGACACTTGATTACATGATTGGAGATTTAAATAACGTTTCGAAAACCGGCCGTTAGCCGTATGACAGGAGGCTCCGTCCTGCTCCGAAAAATCTCCGAATCATTCCGAATGCTATGCCGCAATTGGTAGAGGCCAATAAAGGATCTACTGATGTTATATATATATATATATATATATATATATATATATATATATATATATGTATAAATATATACATATATATATATATATTTATATATATATATATATATATTTTATATATATATATATATATATATATATATATATA